AATATTTATTCAGCACATGAAATATTGGATTTTAGCCTAGAGCAGGGGTGTCAAACTCAAGGCCCGCGGGCTGAATCTGGCCTGTGGAGTGCTTAGATCTGGCCCATGGGGCCACCCTGGAAACACTGAAGGACCAGCACACAGTGCCTCTGCCAGCAAATCAGAGCCTGGAGGGCCACGAGCTCATTTTCGCTGGCAGAGGGCTGCAGGAGGATCCCCCCCAGCCCTGCTCAGGCCACCACAGGTGCCCCTAACACGAGTGAAGTCGAGCTGACCATGCCCAACCTGACCATGCCCCCCCCCAAGATCAAATACAATCTTGATGTGGTCCTCAATGAAATTGAGTTTGACACCCCTGCCCTATCTGGAGGAAGTTATGCTCAAAGCATTTCTTTTTCCCCTTATTCAATAATAATTGTATCCCAAATGGCCATACATTGATATGATTACAACTTTTGGGATTCCAAAATACAATAAATCCACCCTCTTCTACAGCATTATCATACTACCCATGTGTGCCTACTGATAAAAATTTCTAGCCAGTAAGTATAACACCATTACAGTTGTTGCATTGCATGAAATAAAAGAAAAGGGCAGCAAAAGTATATGTTTACTTCCGTGAATAAAACTCCTTCTGGAGAAATAAAGGAGAAGCGTGTTGAATGGAATGAGGTATTTGTATAATATGAGAACCAAGGGTTATAGTAAATGCTCACTAATTGTTATATTTTAATTTAAATCAGGAGCAAAGCAACATGTCCACTTGATCAAAGAAGTAGTTTGGTCTAGTGGTTCAGGTTAGAAACCAGGAGACTATGAGCTCTAGACCTGTTTTAGGCAATAAAAGAAGTTGGGTGACTTTGGGCCAGTCACACTCTCTTAGCCCACCATGTCAGGCTCAGGAGACAAACAGATCAGTCAAATTTTTGTCACAACCAAATGGATCCATATCTGGTTGATTTGAAAAAAAATAAAAATAAAGTGGATCCTGCACTTGCAAGAACAGTGCTATGAAGCAAAATAATTGTCCCCTTTTCTATACTGGATCAAAGCAAAAGGTAATTTTTTTCATTCAGGATCCTGTAGTAGCCAATCTAATGTTCCTAAAGTCAAAACCTTGAGCACTGTTCCTAAGTTTTATAATTTTCACAAGTTTCAGCCTTTTCCTGCCTATTTCCACACAGTAGCCGACATTCAAAGATACACTGCTTTTACGACTTCGAAAACAGGAAGACTTATTTAGCTAACTTAACTAATATTACATAGGGCAAGAGGAACAGAGAATTTTTCTAATACACCTCCCTCTTCTCTGAAAATGGATGAACTATCACAAAAGAATATTATTTCTTGTCTATCCTCCCCCTTCTAATTTGTCTGATGTCAAGCGCGGCAAACAATATCCTGTTGTTCTATTCATGCTCACTCTTTCTTGGCAAGCTCCATTCTTCCAAGTGATTTCGTGGGAATAATAAGGGATGGCATTTTCATTCTCGGCATTTGTACAGAATTAAACATTTGGCTTGAGACCCAGGAGCTGCAATATTTATGCAGGAAAAATGGACTGTGATTACCCTGCTTTATTTGGTCTTTGAGAAATGCTCTGCAGTAGAATCTTTCCTAGCATTAGCTCCAAGCCTGAGAGGACAGTTAGAAAGCTGTCTTCCTAAAAACGTCTTCAATATTACCATGTTTGGTTTTGTAGCTGGTGCTATAATGAAATGGCTCCTACAGAATGCCACTCATTTTATAGATTTCTCACTTAGATTGTGCTTTCATATTGCTGGTAGATGTATGCCATTTGTTTGCTGTAACTTTTAGAGGCCACTTGAAGCCTTGAAACAGGAGATTCAAATATCTTGCATTAGCTGTAATTGAGTATAAGTAGTCTCTGTGTTTCAAGTTTAATTTTATTTTATAATTGGAAGCTAAAAAGAATTTTCCTTTTCATGTAAGAGAGTTCATAAAAGGTGTGGGCCATGGGGAGAGTGAAGAGAAGGAAGTTATTGCTAGTTTTATTTTATTTATTTTTTTCGCTCTCTCTCTCTCTCATCCCTGAAGTTGGTTATATTCTCAGATGGGCTGAACATAATAATCTTAGAAGTTGTAGTGTTCTACACTTATTTTGCTACTGTGAATTTTTGATGATGCTGAAAGTATAAACATCAAAGTAATCAGTGGATGGGCTTTTGTTTGTTTATGGCAACACTAGCAGATGGCAAAACAGATGTCATGGCAGCATAATTTGGCTTTTCTCTCTTTATATTTTATCGGGGTTTGCAGTACATGATTACCTTTTGGCAATGGCTTTCACAGGTGTTCATTTTCAACAGGGTAGGAACAGCAATAAAAAGGGCAATATGAATGAAATGAATTTTTCAGTGTGCCCCACACCCTTTTATTATCTGTATTAGATGAAAAAAAGGGGGGGGGGGAACAGCCAAACAGTTTACATGTCTTCAGTTAAATAAAACAAGTATCAATAAATATTCAGTGTGATCATGTGATCACTGTAATAGACTTCACAACTAACAACAAAAAATATAGAAAAAAGTGAATAAAGATAATTTACTATCATCTAGCAGTCATTATGCTTATATTCTCTGTGATACTAAAAAAGAATTGATATGGGACTTATGAAACCACCATGTAAACTGGCTATGGCAGGAATAGATTGCAAGCCAGACAACTTGGTGTTCTGATCCAGAACACCTCTTATTACTGCTTAATGCTGTTCATGTGTGCTGCCCAACTTGGGTGGCCTATCAGATATATTCCAACATCTTCGACAGGAAATTTGGCTACTCACTGACAGATCTGTGTGCGTCATGAAGCATATCAATATCAATATTGTGTGAAAATTCTTCTGTGTATTACCAAATTCATTTGTTGTTGTTGTTATTAGTTGCGAAGTCATGTCTGACCCATTGCGACCCCATGGACAACATTCCTCCAGGCCTTCCAAAAGTATTTTGGCCACCTAATGGATCTGGCCTTCTAAAGACAGTCAGGGTTGATCTCCTCTAGGACTGACAAGTTTGATTGCCTTGCAGTCCAAGGGACTCACAGGAGTCTTCTCCAGCACCATAGTTCAAAGGCCTCAATTCTTTGGTGCTCAGCCTTCAAATTCAAATTCATTGGCAAACCCATTTCTCCATTTTTCATAATCCCTGAAATTACTATTATTTACTTTCAGGATAAAGCTTCTGAAAACTTACTGATATAATTCCTTCTGCCTCTTCTACCCCAGCCCTTAAGGGACAATTGCTCTCTTGTGTACTTTAATAAAGCCATTTTTTCCCTTTATAACTGTTGCATTACTAATGCAGAAATGATGGTAAAAACTTTTATTCCCTGCCCTACATGCTGCAAGCTGCCTAATGAGCAAGATAATATTAAACATTTTTTCCTGTTGTTTGGAGCATAACTTTCTGCTCTGTTGCTGTTTGGCTTTCCATTCCCTTTGGAATTGAGACTAAGAGTGAGAATAGGCCTACACTATATATCATCTGATCTGAATGAAGTATAAAAGCTGCTCCACTTATATTGTTCAGAGGCGGTGACCAAAACCAAAATCCAAAGCCATTCCAGGACATTATAATCAACTACAATATTATTGCCGAGGCAGTTAAAGTAGGAAAAATGGGTCTAAAACATGTGGCAGAGCAGAAACTGATGCCTTGGCCAAAAGAGGGGAAAATCCACACAAAAACAAAACAAGAAGAAGCAAATATATCACCACCATTTAATTTACCATTATACATAATTCTTTAACAAAAAAATTAGGCTTATCATATTGTCCAGACCTGAAGGACTGTATAATATGATTTATAACCTGGTTTTCCATAAAACCTATGCCAAATTTCATTATAAGCCAAGGATGGACAATGCACAAGCAGCCACAATCCCCAGTCTATTGTACCACAGTGCCCTGAGAAGGTGTAGCTGAATTCAGCAGCTACAGTACCAGTTCTATTTTTGTTTTTAAACATTTTCCCTACATTAATGATTACAGTGGACATGATTAGCCCCTGGGAGACACAATGCATTCTTTGTGATTAAAATCTCAACACTGCCTCTTAAATGCTTGAAAATATTTGCCACTCTGTGACATCCCCATATCCCTGGATATACCTTGTTGCCATTGATGTCCATAGTATTTTTTTAAAGAAAGAAAAATGGTGTTGTCCATAATAAAAATTGCCTGTTCCTACGACTGAATGAAGCCTGTTCCCATTATTTGGGGGGAGGGAATGGCATGTATGCTTGTTAACCAGTCTTTGGAGTTTAGTAAGTCAAGTAATATTTTTAAATGTATGTTTTGGGGGAGGCTAATAGATAAATAGAGAAGGCCAAGTTATACATACTGAATGTGCAGGCCTGGAGTTCTCCCTCCCCTCAACTCTCTTCTTTTATTTGTTTTTAATGATATTGGGATGTTTATATTAGGAAATGGTAAGTAATTGACTAGTAGATGAATGCAGCATTTGAAACAGATAGAATATTCAGCAATCTATTCTTAGGTGATAAAGTTTATTTTGTTTATAAATGTATGAATTGCTGTGGAACCATATATAAACAACAGAATGTAATATTGTTAAGCAGGCATTTGAAGGGAAAATGTAAGCATATCTTTCATTTGATAATTGTTATGTTACTGCTGTTGTTATTTTCTGTGAAGTTATTGGTGTTAACAATTCTTCTTTAGAGTCTGGGCAGAGTTTAATGAATAGAAACAGCCATCCATCAGATTAATCAGAGCCAGCCATTTTTATAATACAGACTGCCCAGTTCTTGTCATATCTCCTGTTTACAGTGTTGAGGAAAGCAGTTGGAAACAGAGTTTTATTATGACTTGTATGTTCACTTTGGTGCAGTGCAAGATTTGTAAACCTGGCTTAATATATTGGGATGCAACTCTTGGTATTTTTCCCCCCATGCTTTTCACCTTGCAGAAATCTAGGATGGTAAATTTCTTATCATTTTTCTACTTCCACTTTCAGAGGCAACTGTTCTAAGCTATGATGGAAGCATGTTTATGAAAATTCAACTCCCTATGGTGATGCATACAGAAGCAGAAGATGTGTCCTTACGGTTCAGGTCTCAGAGAGCATATGGCATTCTGATGGCCACGACCTCCAGAGAATCTGCTGACACATTGCGTTTAGAGCTGGATGCAGGACGAGTTAAGCTAACAGTCAACCTAGGTAACATTCTCCCCACCTCCCATCCTAAAATTTACATTTCAAACATCCTTTTTTATCTTTGCCTGCTAGCATCAATTCAACAGCCTGTTTGACACTGAAAATAACCTGTCTTTTATATATGAAATTTGTACATATGTGTGTATGTGTGTGTGTGTGTATTTGTAATATTATTCCATTATTTATTTATTTGGGTTTTATAGTTTTTTATTTTTTATTTTTGTGCATTTCTTTTCAACCCACTACAATTAATTTTGAGCTGCAGCCTGTTCTAAAAAGAGAAGACCAGCACTTCAGTGGTGTTAATGAGGTATTCCATTTTGGGGGGAAAATATATACCAAAAATGATTTATCCTGACAGATATGTCCTTATTGCTAGAAATCCAGTATTCCTTTGGCACAAGGTACAAGTGCTTTTTCAGTACCAAGCTCCACTTCTGTTCCTGAAAAGATGTATTCCTGGCTTTGTGTTGCATTTGGCAATCTCTCACCATTTATACAATCAGTGAAGAAGTAATGCTCTGTGGGAATACATGTTATTGTTAGTATTGTGGATGAGGATAGTCTGAGAGCGGTCCAAAATAATATAATAATAAAACTCTTGGCTTTAATACATTGCAGTTTATGTAAAATGTACGCACAAGTATAGAAATAAGATATCGTGCAAACCTAAACCACGATTACAAGTGACATGTTTGTTTGCTATGGTCTTCTCTCTCTGTAGCAGTCTGTCATTCTATGTTATCAAAACCATCTTTCCTCCCTTTCTGTTGTTCCTTAAAAATGCTCCCACAAACTTCATATTAGTTTTTCTGTGTGTCACAAATAAGACAACCCTTCAATGCCCAAAGTCTGCGGCCCTTGGCAAACAGCCATGTGAACACGAACCACACAAACTCTTCTGCAGAACCAAGATCATGCTTTCTAGGGTTTTTGTTTTTTGTAAACAATTTTGTAAACAAATTCCTTTCTTCATTCACAAACCTCATATAGGTTTTCTTGAAGAGCTTCCTTTTTTGAGAATATTTTCCAGATCATTTATGCGGCATATTGAAAAGCTAACCTGAGGTGATTTCTCTTTTAATTCGGAAAAAAAACCTAATAGGACAGTTGATATATTCAAATCCCATTTCTAAGGAACTTTGAATAGTTGAATTTTGATTGTGTTCAGGTTTTTAAGTGGGGAATTTTACCTAGAGCCCTCTTGTGGCACTTTTAAGTTACTGCAGGCAGCTAAATAGTTTTGAGTTGAGAAAATGGCAGGAGCTAACAGTGAAATGGGGTTTATTTGAAGAGAGCTTTCTGTAGACAGAGTCACATAGGGGATGTTCCTTGGCTGTTTGTAACCACTTTTCTGATGCGGTTGACGACACATGACAAACTCAGCTACATGGAAACAAAATCTAAGCTTTTTTTTTCTTTAAATGTCTATAAATCCTCAAAGACCTTGAAGAGGAATAATTAAAATGCTGATCATCTGAGCATAAATCATTCATCCATAGAAAACCTAGCAGAGTATACATACAGAAGCAATGAAACAAGAGCAACGGTTTTCTTTTTACAAGCCTTATTCATCCCGAGACGCAAAAGTCACTATTGAGGCTTCGGTATGGGAAAACAGACAAAAAGCAAGCCATCAATCATAGATTTGATTCAGAATAATTACCCTTTGAAAAAAATAAAGACTACATGACTACAAGACTACATATTTATGAATTGTTTAAATGGAGCTACAGATATTCCAGAAATTGAGAAGCAATCTAAAGTAGTTGAAGTGTGGCTTTTTAAATTTTGAAAAATGTATCCTCCTTTGAGGCAATACCAGTGGCCCAGAATGTGAGATTTTAGCCTTGGCAAGCACTATTCCCCATTGTGACGGAGCACTTTTTGAAATTATAATGGCGGTCTCTTTGTTCTTTCATATATGGGAGACAATGTTGCAGCCAGCTTAAATCCACTGACTGGAACAATTGCCACAAACCATTTTTGTCACTTAGATTTGTCACCATGTAGCTTTGTTTGAAATTGGCCATTTTTTTTGTTACCCTATTATCACTTCTTCTACTTCTAAAGTCTTATCACCATATAACTGCATACTCTGGCAATACGGAAAGAATCAAAACATATATAGTGGCCATGTTTGCATGTGTCTGTCCCCGGAAGGGTGGAATGTGATTTTACTGGATGTCTGCAGCTAATACTTTGAAGGATAAATTTTCATTTCTCATCTATTCTTCCCCATCTAGACTGTATCAGGATTAACTGTAATTCCAGTAAGTGCCTATTCAAAATTTTTAAATTTATTATTCCTCCATTATGAAGTATTTGAAATCTTTAGATTATATAACATGCCGCATATCATTTTTGCATAGTAGAATGACTTCCATGGGATGGGGAGGTACCTTGGGGAAAAAGTCATGGATACAAAAAGAAACCATAACATAAACTCTGTCATAATCCCTCCACACACCCCCAAATAATGCTTTAGAAAAATTTCAAGAATGTTGGCAGGGATTTTTGGAGTTTCAAAAAGATTTTATTATTAATATCATGATGCGGTGGCCGTGTGGCACAATAGTTAGAATGCAGTACTTCAGGCTACTTCTGCTGACTGCCAGCTTCCAGCAGTTCAGCAGTTCAATTCTCACCGGCTATTTGACTTCCTATTGCAACATACTTAAAAGCAAAACCACTACACAATCACTTCTAGATAAGCATTCAACAATTATTTTCCCAAATTAAGAGTTTTCTCTGATTGCTTGAATGAAATGAAAACTTCAATGAATATTTTAACAATATTAAAGGTTATATTTATGTATTGGTTTCTTTTTGATCCTACGGTATATTGTTTTTATTATATGTCTTGCATCATTTTTACTGGTTAAACTGATAATAAGTTTTTAATCTTTCTGATATTATTTGGATTAAGATTCTATGTTCTGAAAGAGGATTGTGGACTGTGATTTTATTTTGAGTCTGTGGATCTCCCAAACATTCTATAGTAAGTACAATAGATTTTATTTTTCCTTTTGGGGAAGGATGTTAAATGTTGCAGCTTTTACATAGTCAGTGTACATTAATATACAAATAAATGACCAAGGACATGACAAACTTAAACCTAATTATATCAATTTCAATGGAAGAATTTTAAAAGTGATTTTAGCAATTCCACTCATGATAAAATTGAAAGATTCTAACCTTAACTAGATTATGCTTTCCATCAAACATTGTAACACAATTGCATCAAACATATTATAACACAATTCAGTGGCACTTAGTAGATTTAAGGAGAGGGAAAAGGAGTGCTTATTGAATTACTGCCAATGGTACTCTGGATTTTTGCTTTGGAACACTTAAAATCTAAATTTTCTTATTCAAAAGGAAAATCAAATACTTGCATAATTCTCCTCCAGTTGCCTTCTTGTAATGGGTAAACTGCGAATTATAAATTTTTATGATACTTCCACAAGCAAACAAAAAACAAATGACTAACTGGAACACTAGCAAGAAAAACGTCTTCGTTCCAAATACTTTTTGACAGAAGTTATTTGACTTCTGATATAATTGCTAATATCAATCAGTATAATTCTAATTGCACTGTGTTAGTAATATTTTAAGGAAAAATACATTTTGAAAACATGAATAGTGATACTTAAAATTCTGGAACTAAAATTAAAATACAATTTCAAAGTAGTTATTTCTTTGTTTTTATCTCAGAACTGTATATGCATGTGGAGATCAGGCTAATCTCTTCCTTAATGGCTTTTAAAAGCTTATTAAAAACTGAGCTTTTCTGGATACCATTCCAATACTTCTCACTTATGCCATCATTAACTTTTTTATTTTTACTGTTATAGGTATGTGGTTCTTAATTTTAAAAATGTACTCTAATTAACTTTTTTGTTTGTAATTAAATTGTACTGTGGATTTTTTTTATCATTTCATATGTTGTATGAAAATCATAAGAATGAGAATCATAAGAGTGCAGTGAGATAAAAATGTAATAAATAAATAAATACATCATTTAAAAAGGAACATAATGTTAATCTTAAGAATAAAAGAAAGTATAGTTTGCCATGGACACAGTAAATAACTAATTCCTGGCCAATCTGATGGAATGTATTATTGTACTCCTTGTGAGCTGTTATATTCTTCCTTCCCATGGAAGGAAAAAATTGTTCAGAAGTTATCTACGGAAAACAAAAGTGTGTATGGTTTTTGTTGTTGTTGTTGTTGTTGAAGTTTATATGACTGTGAAGGTAGTCCTTGATTTTGAGCCATGGTGGCACAGTAGTTAGAATACAGTACTGCAGGTTAGCTCTGCTGACTGCCGGCTGACTGCAATTTGGCAGTTTGAATCTCACCAGGCTCAAGGTTGACTCAGCCTTCCATCCTTCCAAGGTTGGTAAAATGAGGACCCAGATTGTTGGGGGCAATATGCTGACTCTGTAAACCGCTTAGGGAGGGCTGTAAAAGCACTGTGAAGTGCTATATAAGTCTAAAGTGCTATTGCTATTGCTATTGATTTAGAACCATTTGTTCAGCAACCTGGAGCCTCCCCCATCCTGAGGCACCCCATGTTGCACATAACATCCACAACAGGGAAAGTCAGCATTTCTTGCTTAATGACCATAACAATTTATGACTGTAATTTTAAGCAGAATTGTGGCCATAAGTCGAGGATCCCCACCCCATACAATGTTTTCTAGTGTGCATCACCTAGGTTACCATTAAAGTATACATTTCAGCCATTAGTAATGGTCTGATTGGTGCACAATTAGAATACAAAGTCTTCATGCAGACAGACCATTTCACATGAATGATGTGTTAAGGGAAAGAGTGTGAAATACTTCCATGGTCAGGTGTATAATCCATGGTCAAACTGGGCATCACATCTGTTTTGCTGAAGATAGAACAGCTGACTCACAAAGAAAATGTAAGAATGTTCCAGTTAATACATCATCTGAGGAAAATTTTGAAAGAAGGTAATCTAAATCCTGTAACTGAACATAAACAAATAATACTGTTGATTGCATGTAATGGTCCAATATCTCTTTTGCAATTTTCTGATTTCTAACGTTTTATAAATTTAATCTGAAATAAAAATTTACAAGTGTGCAAAATGCATGTCCTACTTTCCATAATAACTAATTTCAATTACAAAATTCCATATCTTAAATTTAAAATAAAACCTTTCAGTTTCTGATGTGATATTTTCATTCAATACTTTATGGTATTTTTCAAATGCTTGCATCTTAGCAAGCATTGAAAATGATGAACTGTAAAACATCATATTCATCCTTTTGGATAACTATTTGCTGTCAAATGTAAATTTATGTTAAATATATCTGTATTGGTATGGGTGTAATACATATAGAACTGTAAAACAGTTCTACAGTGGTTATTTGATAATGTTTTTATGGTTTAGGTATACCTGTAGAAAATTTAATGTCAACATTCAAAGTAATGGGGGAGTTTTAATTCTATACTCTGACTTTTTTATTTATACATTATTATATTATTATATATTATATTATTATATAGTTACAGTATATCCTTTATTTCAATTGTATTTTATCACTAAAACCATTTAGCAATGATATGTGAAATAGAAAAAGTCATTATTCAAAATTGCAAGTTAAAAACAATAGAAAACCAATTGAAAATTAAAAATCTGGTACAGGTATCTAAATTGTTCTTATAGAGACAAAGAAACACAGCTCCTGAAGACTATGTATCAGACCTGCCACAAATTTAAACCTCTAAATTGAAAATAATCCTTTGTTCCATTTTTTGAGAAAGGTATATTTTTATTAGAGATCAAATGTATTGCAATAGTGCATAGCCAGAACTGAGATTCACACACCAAAATCCCTACATTGCACCTTCCCCTCCTTTCTCTTCCTTAACTGTCTCTCATTTCCTATCCTAAGATAACGAATTAAAATCTTGCAAGTGCTTTTCCTAATGGTCAGCATGCTCTTGTATGCTGCTCTCCCCTTCTTCCAGCTGGATGACCTTGCAGCAGCTTCTCAAGAAAGCATAGCATCTACTTTCAATTCCCCAAGCATTCTCCCCTTCATCTCCCTTCTCCATAGTTCATGGCAGACTGTCACAGCATATCAGCAATGCACAAGCAAGCATGAGGTGGTAGCTGACACTATGTTCTACGGCATGAGACAGGTTGCCTGTGATAATAGAAGGATATTCAGAAGATTCTCTCCTGTGATCTTAATGCCTGATCTGAGCTGATTTATCCAAAGAGAAGTGGTTCCTCAGATATCCAGAACCAAGTTATTCAGACTTTTAAAGATTAATGCCAGGATGTTAATAAGAGTTAGCTGGTAATAACAGTTGGCAACTATCACATTTCTTTAAGTAATTGTATCATTGTATCCTTGTACCTTACATTGGTGGGTAGTCTAAGTCCCATATTTTGTACCATTTGAAATTTCTGGATACTTTTCCATGGTAGGGAAAGGATCACATAGGGAAAGATAGATATAATTACAGAATTAGAGATCAACCTTTTCAATGACCAGGTATTATACAAATAAGAGGGAGAGAGTGGGGGGAGGGGGAGGGGGAGGAGATGGGGAGAGGGAAGGAGGGAGGGGGGAGAAAGGGAGGGGGAGAGAGAGAGAGAGAGAGAGATCTACCACCAGACTTGATAATGACTAACATTTGTGGCATTGTTTAATGAGCATCAATACTGCAACAATGAATGTCTCCATTTTGTATGGATATATGAAGGACACTGAAAAAATGTTACTAATGTTGATCCTTCTAGCTGCAGACTACTTCTTTGGGTGAACTGACATCACTGGTGAATTTAAGAAAAAGAATAATACTGATTTTTTTTTTTTTTTTTAAAAAGAATGGGTAGGAGATAGAATGATAGCCACCTGGAGTGGGCTGTCATAAAGACGAATGAAAAATAAGTGAGTAAGTTTTGCAATCAGAAGGATTATAATATCTAACTGGTTGTGGATATTCTTTGAAGAATTATATAAGATTGTCAAATAATGTGGGAGATGGCTTTTTTTTTTCACCATGTAACTTGGCATTTCTTCCATTTATATTGTAGCAGATGAAATTGTGATATGCCACACATGCCACGCATTCATGCCACAAATGTAATATAAATGTGTACTCCTATTTTTGAGTGTTTTAATGGTGCAGAAAAAGCTCTTGATATGACACTTTGATATATATTGTTGCTATGAAACTGAGAATCTTTTCTGTATGACAGGACAGCTTTTCTACTTTGGTG